TGGCATTGGAATGGCAAAATTATTTTTAAAAAACGAGTGTGTTATTTTGTGCAGAAATACTACGAACGCAGTAGGACTCTGGAAAAGCTGTTTGTTGGGGGATGTTGTCCTGGTACGGACAGCAGGCAGCGGGAGAAGCGCAGGCAGCGAGGAACTCCCTTTGACACAGAAGTGCCTGCGAAAGGGCCGTCCCCTTCAGATACCGGTGGGAGTGTGAGCAGACAGGTAGCTTAATCAGATAGCTTTTGGAAATCCGGTTAATTTTGTTTCTTTTTAATATCTTTTATGAGGGGGTATCTCAGTACACCTGCAAAATTCAGATGCAGATAGATGGCCTGGCCTCCTCCGCACATATAAATTGGGTGTTTGAAGTTGGCCCCTTTCCTAGGCAGCAAAACTTGTGCTTTCTCGGAGTCATCTAGCCAGTCCTCTGAGCTAAAAATGCAGGAAGAGGGCACCAAAATAGAGCTTTTTGGAGTTCAGGTCACTTATATTTACTTGGCCTGGAGATCAGCCAAAAGCAAAAAACAGAATGGAAGAAACGCTGATTGCAACAAAACTCCCTTCCTGAAGAAAGCATAAAGGGCAGGGATGGAAACCAGCGAGCTTTCCCCGTTGATTTAAAAGCAGAGAATAAATTTCTTCCTGTCCTAAATTCTCACACATCCCTTGTGACGGCAGGAGAAAGCAGGTTGCGTGGGGTAAGCTCGGAGATCTCGAAAGCTGTTGAAAAACCAAAGTCGTGAGGCTGCTGCTTGAGCATCCCGGGGAGTTTGGTCCTTGCCTGATCCCCGCAGATGCACAGCGGGAGGATGCTGGTGTCTCCCGGAGATCTGCCCCGCATCTCCGCCAGATCCGGGGCTTTGCTGTCTTTATTTTTGAGCAGACACAGGCAGTTTCCATCACGCAGGGACGCCGTGGACCTGCAGGCAAGGGCCAGTTGGTCCCGGGACAACCGCACGGCTTTGCTCTGGGCAGACGCATGCCCTGGAAGGGGCAGGGAAATGGGAAAACGCCCGGGAAATCCTGGTGCCTGGTCGCGGTTTCTGGGTGAGAGCCCCTCCTCTGCTGAGGTACCACCAGCTCTTCGTGGCGTTTTCACTCGGTATTTTCATTAAATCCACATGAATGTTGTTGTCTGAGACTCCCAACCCTCCACCAAACTTCCCTGATAGGAATTAACAGAAGCATTTTAGGGGCAAAACGCGCGGGTCGGTGCAGAGCCTGCGTGTGCAGGCTGTGTTTCCGCAGGACAGCGGGATGAGCCCCAGCTCCTTCCTCCCAAGCTCTCAGGATTCTCCTGGGTTTCTTCAGCCCGGAGTCGGGGCTGGGCTGGGGCAGGTGACAGCCACCGTCCCCAGGCAGGGGACCTGGCGTAGCATCCCCCCTCCCTCCCCATGTGTCCCTGGGCAGGAGCTGTGAATGCAACGGGGGGTCTGGGAGCAGCGCGGGGGAGAGTCGGAGATGATTGAAGGGCTGGGAGGGAGACTTGGAGGAAATGTGAGAGAGTAAATCAGTCGAGCTTGCCTAAGTTATGACTAAATGGGGAGCATGATACATCTGCAAATATTAGAAATGTGTAAACAGAGAGGAGAGAGAGGGATGGTTTATGGAATGATTGAAGGGAATGAACTTTTGGATGGAAAAATGTAGGTCAAGTATGAAGGAAAACTGGTAGGCAGTGAGATAAGTGCTTTCAGCGGTAAAACAACCTCCTCGGGAAAGGCGGGGAAGCCCCATTGGTGGAGCTGTCTAACGCGAAGCCCAGATGGGGGCCTGGAAAACAGGCTGAGCCGGAGGATGTGTCCCGTGGGCGCTGGCAGACGGGGCCGGGCAGGCGGCGCTGGGCTTTGGGCAGGTCCCCGGGGGCTGCAGGGTGGGGGGGACGGGTGACCTTGTCCCTTACGTGGCTTGTGGTGGCCCCTGGACCAGCGCACGGTCTCTTTTGTCGTCCCATCTTCAGCCTCAGCAGGGACCCGCCCCGGGCAGCGCCTTGGCTGCCGATCCCGTTGCAGATTTGATCCTTTTCCCGTTCGTGGCTCATTTAAATTGGCAGGCTGTTTGTGGTGTCGTTAATGCATCCAGTTTTTAATCCTGAAAACTTTATGAGTTTGGGGAGAATTCATCCCACCCAACTTCAGGCGTTTATAATCCCGGCAGCCAGTCGACGCCGACTGTCAGAAATCCTCCACGGGCAGCAGGGAAGGAGCAGCACCTCCAGCCCCCTCGCTGCTGGGTGCTCAGGGTACTCGCTGCGTTGTTCTCAGGGTGCCCGTGAAGACAGCCCAAATAACTAACAATTAAAATAATAATTCATTTTTAGAATACTGAAATTGAGGAAGTTTACACAGCGCTGAGAGGGATCTGGTGGGGTTGGGAAGGGTCAGGGTGAGGTTCCTGGTTGGGCTGGAGGAGCTTCAGGGGCTTTTCCAACCCGGATGGTTCTGGGATTCTGTGAAGTTCACTCCGCCCCAAATGCCTAAAATCTCCAATAGACCTAAAAACTCTTTGGGAAACATGTTTTACGCAATTTCCATGGGAGTGATTGCTGGGGGCAGGTCTGCCCACTGCCTGCTGGGCTGTAATGGGATGCCCGTGCCCTCTTAATGGGGAGAAGGGGGAGGCATCGCCTTCAGCTGGGCAACCTGGAGCCCTGCCTGCGGGGTGGCTGCCTGCTCTCCTGGGGCTGCAGGACTTGGTTGCCATCTTCAGAAGATCCCTCCCAGAGGCATCCTCACCTTTCAGGCTCTCGTGTCGGGTGTCTTGGCAGCTCTTTGAGGCAGGGACCTCTCCGGTTTGCTCCAGATGGCCCGTGTGTCTGGAGTCATGTGTAAATGACGGCGGCGTGTCGAGGCGGGGACTCACCGCGTCCTCAGGCTGAAGTAAGGATGTGTCTGTCGGTGGGTGGTTTGAAGCCCATTTTGTACCTTCGGGTTCTCCATCCTGTCTAGAAGGTGGGGAGCACCGAGAGCTGCTGCTTTCCCGCAGGAGAAAAGCTCATTGTGCCTGCGCCACACCACCGAGGGGTCCTTCTGTGTCCCCCTCGCTGTCCCACCGCCCTCCTGCTCCCGACACTGTCCCCGAGCCTGGTGGGGAGGACACCGGGCTGTGGCATCTCCGGAGCAGGGGCTGTGCTCACCCTGCCTGCCTCCCCTCCTCCTCCTCCTCCTCGGCCCATGGGGAGTCGGCGTGGGCAGACGCAGATCCAAGCCTCAGAGCTCTTCTTCCCGGTTGCGTCCTCGCAGCCTGATTGCGGAGTCAGTCCCTTCTCTGGAGCCGTTCCACGTTGTCTAAGTAATTAAGATCCAACGGGTCAGGGAGAAAAAGCAGGACCGCAGCTGAATTTCCCACATCTCAGCTGAAAGCCCTGACCACAGGGCTATTGACTGCTCTGAAAGGCTTGCTCCATAGATTGTGTCCTGGTCCTGATTAAACTTTTTGTGATGAAAGTTTCACCAAAACTAACATACTTCCATGAAAATTCTGGTTTTCATGATTTGGCATTTTCCAGGGGAAAAAAAAAACAAAAAACAAAAAAAAAACTAAAACAACTTGCCAAGAATTTCCCAACCAGCTTTAATCCTGAGACACTACCATGGGCCAAACAAACGATGATAAGGATCTATGGAAACATGGGGAAACAAAGAAGTGATGTTTTTAAAGCCTCCAGAAAATAAAAATGCAGCTGGAAGGAGGAGCACGGGGTTTTCTCCAAGCACGCCGAGGAGGGAAATTCATTCCCTTTGAATCACGGGGAGTCCTTTCTAGTTGATTTCAAAGGAAGTTGGCTGTGGTCGTTAACATGACCTTAACTAGTGCCTAGATATATTCACAGATGAGCTGGAAGCTGCTCTTCCCAGCAGTGTCACGGGTTGCTCGCAGCCCGCAGAAGGGCTGCTGGCCGTGAGAAACGAGAGATCGCCCTCCCTTTTACAGCGAGTGAAGACAAAAATTTCCCCCCATGCCTGAAGCTCGAGAGATAAGGGGGGTTTGTGGGAGATACAGTCTTAACCGAAGCCATCTGGGCTGTGCCCGGGCAGCTGCGATGGGCACGAAGGCACAGGGGGGTGGAGGGAAGAGCTGGGTTTGGCTGAGGAAGGTCGTCTCGCTCGGCTGCAGAGCAAAGCCACGTTCCCTCCCCGGCTTGTGGGTGGCCGTGGACCCGAGGGAGGGGGACAGGGGACTGGCCAGGCTGGAGAGAAAGGTGCTGTGGCCCAGCCTTGCGCCCGCAGGTGAACCCCCAGGTTGCTTTTGCTTCTGGAAATGTCGCCGAGCGCTCTTTGGTACAGCCCAGTGTCAAAATAGGTCTGTAAAACAACGTGTTCCCCCCGAGGTCTGCCCGTTTGAGCCGAAAAACAGGGCACAGTGAAAAGTGCCATATTTCTGGGAATCTCCCCCAGAAGCACGTCGATGGGTGGGGAAGGCGAGGAAGGTGTTATTTGGTGGCCTGAGGCTGCCACGTCCTGGCGGCGCCCACATGCTTCTGGTCACCAACTCTTCTGGCAAGCAGAGAACTTTGGAAATTCCAATAAAAATCAGCCCACGGTCTCTTTTGCTGTCCCGTGTTCAGACTCAGCAGGGACCAAAACGCTGTAGAGGAGGCATAAACCCCTACCCCACCCCGGGGGAGCGGCGCGGTGGCGTGGGGAGGAGGAGGATGCTCTGGGACTGGGGATAAGCAGCTCTTGAGTTTCTGAGGTGATGGGCTGAGCCCTCAAGCCACCAGTCCTGGCAGAGCCACCGTGTTTGTCTGTACGGGACGTTACTCCCTGCGGTTAATTCTCTTTATTTTTGTGGTGGATTTAGTTTGTGAGGTGAGTTCCACGCTCCCGACGCTTCAGCGGTTTATTTGAACCAGTCGGTGAGTTCGGTGAGCGAGCCTGGTGATTGCTGACCTGAGCTGAGAGTTCTTCCTCCCCTTTTTACCCCACGTTTCTGCGGTGCTTCGGCTACCCCGGCGTTTGGGGAGGTGACGCGTCCCTCTCGGTGGCTTCCCTTAGGCTGTCTACAAGGCCTGGCTGTGCTCCGAGTATTTCAACGTGACCCAACAACAGTGCCGACACCGGATCCCATGCAAGCAATACTGCCTGGAGGTGCAGACCAGGTGCCCGTTTGTGTTACCGGACAATGACGAGCTGATCTATGGAGGTTTGCCTGGCTTCATCTGTACGGGTAAGGAGGTCCGGGGAGTGGGGCCGGGCTCCTGCAAGCCCCGGGGGGGGATGGAGGGCCGGGGCAGGGGTGGGTGCTGATGAGCCCCGTCGCGCTCGGTGAGCCCACACACCCGATTTGGGAGGGTTTTCTGGGGAGGAGGTTTTTTGCGGCGTGGAAACGCGGGGAGTGCTGCTGGAACGCAGCCTCATCTCCGGGGGCGGGAAATGAAAGCCCCTGACTGAAAACTGAAGCACAAAAAAGGCTGAAGGTGGCTGGATAAAGCAGGGCCGGGGCGTCCGGACTAAAGCAGCGTTTGGGGCATCCTGAGCGTGCCCCGGGGCTGCGGGCTCTGCTTGCAAGTCTCTGCAGGCTCGCAGCCCCATCAAGGGCCAGTGCTGGGGGGTCTCTGGGTGCCCCATTTCTCGGGTTCTGCCCATCACGTGGCGCAGGCACCGGGGACCGGCTTCCTCCAAGTCTCCCGCTGACCTCCCCTCCTCTTCCTCTGCTTCCTTCCCGCAGGGCTGCTGGAGAACCAGCTGCCCGACGAGGAGGCCAAGTGCTGCGAGGTGCAATGGGACTCCTGCGACCACCCCCCGGACAGCAACGACAACACATCCCCCAAATCCACAGCGTCAGAGTCGCTCCATTTCCACCGCCACGACCCCCACCTCCATCACCAGCGGCAGAACCACTACCACCTCTACCACCACCACCACCACCACCACCAGTACCACCAGTACCACCAGCCCCGCTCCCCATCCTTGCTGCCGGTCTCCGCGGGGTCTCGCCTCGGCGGCAGCACCAGGATCAGACTCTGCGTGCTGGTCCTGATGCTTCTCCACACCATGGTGTCCTTCTCCAGCGTGCACGGCGGCGGCGGTGGCGGCGGGGCGGCCAGCGGAGGGCTCAGCCTGGAGGCCCTGCCCGCCTTGGAGGAGAGCGTGGCGCGGGACGAGTGACGCGGAGGGGAAAGCCAACCTCCAAGAAGAACGCCAGATCTTTTTTCCACTAAGGGGGGCACATGCTATTCCTCCAATGGGAGGCACGGGATTGGGGGTGACGTGCACCGCACACACACCCCCGCACATCCCCCCAAGAGCCGCTCGCCGCGGGGCATCCCCGTGATGAAGAGTCTCTCTAACGCGCACAGGGCTGCGGCACTCGGCTTTGAGAAGGGTTCGGTCAGTAGCAGCCGGGCAGCGCCGCGTGCCCGGCCTCGCCGAGGTGCCGGCGCAGGAAGGTACGGCACGGGGACGGGGTGGGGAGTGGAGGGGAGGGGGTCCCTTCGGAAAGAGGTGTCCCCGTGGGACCGCCACGCATCTCCCGGCCGCCTCGGGGTTCGACAGTCAGCCCGGCCCCCGTTCCTTTTCCTCCTCGTTCTGTATGTCCCGCAGGGGCAGGCGGGCAGAGAGGCAGCACCTCTTGGCACGGCCTTGCCCCCTCCTCCAGCTCCTGTCCTGGGGGAAAATCCCACCAACTCAAGGCAGACCCGTCCTCGTGGGGAGCAGCGTCCTTGGCGTGGCTTTCCCCTTGCTGACGGGCTGTGGGGGACAGGAGTGGGACGCTGTCCTGCTACACTGTGGTACTACTCGGGGTTTGTCTCCTTACGTCCCCAACCCGCTCCTCCAGCTTTGTCTCTCCATCTCCTCTGCGCGAGGCGGTGGAGAGGGAAGACGGAGGCGTGGAGCAGGAGACAACATCCCCAGCGTTCCCACTCTGCCAAGTGTCCTGATGATTTGGTTTAATTAACCTTTTTTTGGGGGGCCTTCTTTCCTGCCGGGAGCGGCTGGTTTCCAAGAGGAGTTAGGGGAGGTGCAGCTCCAGCAGGGCGCAGGCTGAGCGAGGGAGCAGGACGGCGCATGGTGACAGCTGGACGCGGGGCGTTGGGAGGCGTCCGTCCTTCCACGCTTCCCAGCTACAAATCATCGGCTGGGTGGCAGAAGGACTGGCCAAAAGGGCTGGAGAAATCTGCCTTGTAGGGAGAGTCTCCCACACAAAGAAGAGGCGCTAATAAAGCCCAGCTGGGGAAGAGAGTTTTTTTGTGAACACTTTCCATCCACGCATGCCCCCCAGATCAGAAAATTTCTCAGAGCCCAGCTGGGATAGCTGGACTCGGCCGGGCAAGGTGCTGGCTGGTGCAGCCTCATTTGGCTTACTTGGTTGGTTGTTTTTTTTTTTTTAAAACCTGAGCTTAGCGTATCCAAGGATTCAGCCCCAAACAGACACCAGGTCCCGCTTCCCCAGAAAACTCCCCAGGAGGTGCGTGGAGGACGGCGCTGCGCCGCAGGGCCAGGCACTGGAGGCGAGAAAGTTCATTCTGGGTGTGGGCGAGGGGACGGAGGAGGGTGCGTTTTAGCACAAGTCAGGTGCAGAATGTCCTGGTGGCCACACGGCCGTGAAGCTGCTCATTGCTCGCAGGGGACGTGTGATGGGCTCTCTGGTTGGTGGCAGAGCCTAGAGTGGGAGGTGGGGATGGGGCCGGAGGAACGTCCTGCTGCATCTCAGACCCATCCCAGATCCCCGCGAGGGCCCGAGAAGTCACAGAGTTGAGGACTGTAACGAGTTTTGTGGTTTCCAGTTGGTTGAGGCGAAGCAAAACCGAGCAGAGCCCCATGAGCAAAGCTACTTCCTACCCGGCTGGAAGAAGGAAGTACCGGGTATCTCGTGGGAAGGACAGGTTTCCTGACGTTTCCAGCCCATTTCCAGACCAAAGAGGCTCTGAGAAGCAGCTGAATGTTTGATTTCTGCTTTGACTTGAATCTCAGAGCTTTGGGGTGATGTTTACACATTATCAGTTGCCTGTAACCAAAGTCCCGCAGATACAGAGCCTGTGAACCTGCTGTCCCTTGGTTATCGGACTAGGAGAGGCGATGTTCATGGAGGATGCAGAGTGTTTCCTGAGCAGATTTCCTTGCTGTTGCTACCCAGGAGATGTAGGACAATTCTCATTTGACCTATTCCTCACACCATCCGTATCTTTTCAGTCTAGTTTACACCAGTCTGAGAACTTGGATGTGCAACAGTTCAGCAAATAGGGATCTGGCTTCTCTGTGAGCAACGAGTTGGGGAGCTGCTGGGAACGAGTTGGGGAGCTGCTGAGCAACGAGTTGGGGAGCTGCTGGGCAACGAGTTGGGGAGCTGCTGGGAACGAGTTGGGGAGCTGCTGGGCAATGAGTTGGGGAGTTGCTGGGCAATGAGTTGGGGAGCTGCTCTGATGACTGGCAAACGCATAGAGCCAGGCCGAGGGAGGGAGCGCCGTCCTGGGCCTGCCTCGAGACAGCCGGATCCAGCTCGCTCTTAAGGAAATTAGATTTTTCATGTACTGCCAAGAGTTAAGCTAATTCCAGGCGCCTCTCTCTGAGATAGGCTGCATCCAATCTTTGAACGACTCATCTAGAGAGAGAAGAATAGTCCAGTGTGGTGCGTCAGCCAGTGGCCCTGAGTCACCGGCCCTCCTCATTGTCTGCTGGTGTGACCCTGAGCAGCGCCCGAGCACACGCGAATCCCGGGCAGAGACCCTTCCTGAGGGCTGTGGGCCCTCCTGCTCCGCCGCCGAGCCGAGCCACAGCCTGGCGCCTCGGTGTCAGCTCAAGTGGGTTCTGGTGGCACCAAGCACGGAGGTTTTGGGATGGGCGAGTTCCACGGAGCTGTGGGAGCGAGGTCAAATAGCCGCGAGTTATCGTCAGGGACTAGGGGAGGCTGGTGGGGCTTTGCTGGGATGACCTGTGACAAATGGCTTCACCTTCCACGGCTTCATGTCAGGAGGTGGGGAGCCGGCACCACATCCCGGTGGATCCCGGGATCAGAAACGTTTCAGAAACGGGGTCTCGAGCGCGGTTACGGAGGGGAGGTGGTTGCGAGCGCCGGGGAGCGAGGAGGCTTCACAGGGCTGTCGTGCTGTAGCCAGAGGAGATCCGCACGTTTTCCCGGCCGTCCCTTCCCGGGAGGTGTTCACGGGAGGGCAGGAAGCAGGCAGGCCGCGGGCAGGGGGAGCGCGCGGGGTGCGGAGCCAGCGCGGGGCTGGGATTTTACCTAGTGTGACTGGAAGGAAAGTGCTGAGTCTTCACAGACCAAGGCTTTTGGAAGGAGTTCTTTTATTTAGCGAGTCTGGGCTGCTGTCAATAAGTTCTGTGGTTTTAGGGCACCATATGCTGTATTCAACACTTTGCCAATCTCGTTAAATGAATCCAGACTAGGCTGTTCACAGAACAGGACGGAGCAGCTGGAAGCGGTGGATGTCGCAGTCCATCATTATAAGGCCGTCGGATAAAAATCTTCTCTTTGGTCTGACATTACAACCTTAATAATCCTCCATCCATATTAGCTTTCTCTTTGCTATAAAAGAGAAAAGCCCAGAAAGGAGACGTTAACATTGTCTCAGTTAATACCACTGACATTAGTTTTATTAAAACATGGAGGGAACGTGCCTGGGAGAAGGAGAGAAAGGGTTTCTTTGCCCCGTGCATGCAGGTACACCTCAGCCCACACCAGGAGCCCTTTGCGCTCCCGCAGCCACCTGGGACCTTAAAAAACACCTTGAAAAAACAGGAATTTATCCTGCTGGGAATTTAAACCCAAGGGGCTTTCTCCTTTTTGGTCCAATGATTTGATTTCTTCTCCCCAAAGAAAGTTCCACGCGTGGGGATTAATATGTGAAAATCAACTTCTTTTTTTTTTTTTTTTTTTTTTTTTTTTCCTCCCTGGCCAGAGGCTTCCTCAGCCCCGTGGCGCTGGGGGAGCCAAGGGGTGATGCTGCCCCGCGGGGTCCGGGTGTGGGCAGGGGAGCGGGCAGAGCAGGCAGGGCTGCTGGAGGAAAGGTAGCAGGGTCCTGCCCGGCTGGAGCATTAGTCCTGGGTTTTGCACTTTAATGTAACTGCCAGTTGTACAAATTAATTAAAAATAACTGAAGAAAAATCCCAAAGAAAGGCCTTGATTCCTCTGGTGAAGATTAATCATTAGTTGAGCCTTTTTCTTATGAAAATACAGATCCATGGTAGCCCCAGGCAAAAGATTCCCAGGGAGAGCCCTCACCATTCGTGCTCTGAGTTAGGGAAATCGCTTTGAAAGCATCTGACAACTAAAGCAGAACATGTTGAGTAACTTGGCAACACTCAGAAAACATCTTGAAATGGTTTTTGTTCAACACATTTTGCTTTGCTTCAATAGGAGATGTCAGGGCAGTTCATTCACTGCCACTCAGGACTGCAGGCAACGCTGGGAGACGGTTCCTCTGCCCACGTTTTAAAAAAAAAAAAAAAAGAAAATCCCCGATATGTGCTGCTCGTGGGGCAGGATCCTCCTTGGCGATGCGATGGAGGTTCCCCTCGCCGCGCTCCGCGGGGCCCTCCTGGAGGGCGAGGTCTCCCCGCGCCGCGCTGGCAGAGGAGGTGGGTGATTTACGGAGCTGCCGGTGGGATGGGGGCCCGACCCCGCCCTGCCTTGTGCTGAGCCTTGAGATTGAAGGCTCTGCCCTCAAAAAGTCATGCAGCAGCTTGTGATAAATTATAATATGATACCTCGCTACCACCCCGTAAAGAAATGCCTATAGAAACGGGTAGTTGGATTCTGCGAAAATCCCTGTTCAAGTCTGCACGATGTGCCAGACAGTTTTGTTTATGGACTTTTTTTGAGCTGCCCTGTGGGTATAAATCTCTCTGAAAGGATCCGTCAGAGGTTAGGAAGGGCAGTGTCTAATGTTGAGGCAGGATGTTAATAACCACCCACTTCAGCCCATGCAACAGTCGCTCCTTGGGCACCCCAGCGAGCGACCGAGCTCCCCCCATTCCAGAACCCCGTGATCACCCCTTCGCCCCCAGAAGGAGCCTCTTTAGAGCTCCTGGGGTGAGGGGGCTGCCCAGGTCCAAGCATCATTTAGTTTTATTTCAAGAGTGAAGATTTTCAGTAGCTCTTTTTGGGTGGTTTTGGTCCATACAGCTCTTGGGGTGACTGCTTCCAGTCCTCGCTGCAGGGAGGGGGACGGGGAAGCCAAACCCGCTCTTGCTCGTCCTCTGAGTGCCAGGAGTCAGCCCCCAAGTCTGGAAAATCCCAGCAGTTTCCATCATTCCCACAGCCCCGTCTCGAACGAATGAAGCCAGCACCAACCGTCCTGCCCCTGGCTGAGCAGAGACGAGCATCCTCCCCAAAAATAGGGCTCCCAAAAAGGGGCTTCGCTCCACCGCCCGCGGGCTGGTCCTTGGAGGAAAGGGCAGGAGGAGGGGTGGGTCCCACGCGTGGCTGTGCAGGACCTGCAGCTGCTCCCCACACCCTGCCCCAGCTGGGGGCAGGGGGGATGTTGGTCCCGCCGGGGTGTCGGGGAAGGAGGGTTTTACCCCCACAGCCCAGACCCTGCGAGGGAGGTCAGCGGCGGCGGCAGCTGCTGCGGGGCGGTTTCCAAAGGGACCTTCAGTTCTGCCCCTGCTGGGACAAAGGGAGCAAAGGAAATGTTGCGGCCGTACTCAAAGGATAAATAATTTGCCAATGAGGACCAGAAAAAAAATAATCAAACTCCTTTTAAAAGTTGCTGGGATTTTCTCAAAAGCTCGCAGCCCCTGCTCGCAGGACTGGGTGTTCGTGGGCAGGAGATGAGTTACAGCCACTGTCGTTCCTCCAGCTGCCTTTCCTAGGCTGCCTATCTAGTACTTTTGTTCGAAACAAGGTCAGAAGCGGTTTTCAGTCTCGTTAGCATTTTATGATGATCCTTTTTCAGCCCAGAAAGTCGACAGCTTCGTTTGTTGTAAACTGAAACTCGGGGGGGAAAAAAAAAAAAAAAATTAGGTTTGGCTTATGAAATTTGGGTTTGGTTTTACCATTTTTAAACGTATTTGGGAACTGTGCGTGCTTGAGTTGCAAAACAAAAAGACATTTCAAGCCAGACAGTTATTTTATTTTGAAACTTGTCAAAACAAGCCATATTGATAATTATGACCAATTTTTTTCAAATTGAGAAATGTATCAAGAACAGCCCTTTCCCACAAAACCTTTCATTTTCAAAAAATAAAATGAAAAAAAAATAAAAATAAAAAAAATCAATCACACTTTTTCTGCTCGCACAGTTGGAACTGGTGGCAGCGGATCCGGAGAGAATAGCAATTTGTAAGGAATTCCAACCAGCTCTACTTAAAATAGCATCCAGCCAGTTTCTTGGGGGCAGCAGGCTGAGCGGCTCCGTGGCGAAAGCGAACTGGAGAGTTGCCCCTCGTACCGGGAGGGTTCCAGTCTGGAATAACGCACCTTGGGGAGCGCACGGGCACGTTCCCCCCCTTGGGAATTTGCTGCTGAGGTGCTGCTGCCCGGGAGGAAGAGTCTCCTCTCGGAGCTCGGCCGGCGGTGGGTGCCCCCAGCCATCCCTCTAACCAAGCTCTGTTTTCTTTTCCAAACCAAACCCGAGTCCAGCTTTTAAGCCTCCGATCCTTTCAGACGTCACGCTTACGGGATGCCTTCAGAAGCAGAGATGCTCCCGTAGGATCGGGGGAGTTTAAATCGGGAAGGAACTCGATGCGCTGCTCCGGCCGGGATTGCCACAAAGCGAGAAAAGCAAACGCCGCGGTTCAACCGGAGCCGGTTTACGGGAGAGACTTGAGAGAGAGCCCCAGCGAAAGCGTCCTTGACCTCTTGCCCTTCTCCAGCTCCGAGCGCAGGAGGTGCCTGTCCCGGCAGCCCAACCAGGCCTCAGCCCCTCGGCTGCCGGCGAGGGCCGGGCTGGGGGGGCCTGGGGGGGACCTCGGCAGGGCCCGGGATGGCTTTGCCTGTGTGTGTGCGACCGGGCTGCTTGTGACCGAACCCTTCTCAAGTGCTTGTGAAACGTCGGTGGTTACAGAGCTCAGACCTACAATAAAAGGTCCTTTTACAGTACGTGGTGGAGAGGTGAAAAAAAAAAAAAACAAAAAAACAACAAACCAACAACAAAACAAACCATACTGCTGAAGTCAAAATATTCTTTCTAATCCCCCTGCCCGGTTTCTCTTTCTTTCCAGCTTTCGTCCTCTGCCTCCCGGACCCTCCCTCTCTGTTCCCACCCCCCTTCTGTTTCTCTTTCTCCCCTCTGTCATAAGAAAGTGACTGTGTCCTCGAGGGGACAGTTTTCTTATGCCATTTTATACACTGTGCTTCATGTTTAGAACTTTTTTGCACTAGTTCCTATTACATTTATTTTCCAAAATGGTTTGACAGAAAACAAAGAAAAAAAACCAACAAAAACACAAAACCATGCTATAATTCAGTTGTATTAAAAATATTATCCTACTACTCTCTGTGTTCAATAGTCTCTGTACCTGTAATGCTTTCAGTTCTGTTGTATTTTGGGGCAGAGGTTTTCTCCGCTCCTTGTTTAACCCAGTAAAGAAATAAAATGTTAAGAATTGATGATAACTTCCTCCTCCCTTTCTCTGCGGTTTAATTTGGGCCGTGTAGGTCCCGGCGTGCTGCTCGCTGTCCGGGGAGACGCGGGGGGACGGGCTGCCAGCCCCTGCTCCCCACCAGATCCTGCCCTGCAAACTCGCTCTGTCTGTCCTACGGGTTTTTTTTTCCTGCAAAATCCAATCTCAGATGGAGGACAGAAGAGGCAGAATGGAGGGACAATAACCCTGCCTTACTGAATTTGATTTCGTAACCTTTCTTTATATTCTTTTGTTTCTTGCCTTCACATTTCTTGCCATGGGGCTCACCTCAGAACAATAGGGGCAAAGACTGTCACCAAGAGATTCATCAGAGAATAATGACTCAACCAGGGTATCCAAATTTTGCCCAGCTGAAGTCCACACCCACATATAATCTGGAATTAATTCATCTGGACAACAGATCTCGGCATGCAACAGAGCTAGGACACTCCGCTCCAAATTGAATGCTGCATGCTAGGCTGCAAAAGGCCATGTCGTAAAACTCTGAAGTTACGCTTTGGCCATTCCTCCCCCGAGCTGAAAAGTCTCCCTTTGGAAAGAAGATGAGGAAAAAAAAAAAAAGAGCATAAAGAATTAAATTGTTCGGAGATAGAAGTAATTTTTTTTAAAAAAAAGCGGATGGGTGCAGAAGGCAAATACAAGGGGGAGGGCGCTGGGAGGAGGCGGCTCCCGGAGACCGAGAGGAAGGAGCGGGGGGTGCAGGAGGGGAGACACGGGGAGCACGGCCAGGAGTGGGGTTTCTGGTGTGTAACCAACCGCATGAGGGGCTGGGGGGGTAAATCATGAGTTTGGATATATCATGGCTAGAACTGAAGAAGCATTTCCTGGCCTCTCACAAGGTTCTTGTTCCCATCTGCCTAAATCAAATCATCCCTACAAGAGACAGGTTTCCTTTGTGGCTCAGAGGGGGGAAATAAATTTTATATATATATATATATATATATATATTCAGCAGAGTTCCTCAAACAGAGGAGGTGGCCCAGGAGGCCATGCTGGAGGCGCGGAGCTGGGGCTGCTGGCGCCTGGCTGGGCTGAGCACCGGGGTCCCGTTGCTGCACCGTCCCCTTCCCTCTCCCTTCGCCTCCGAGTGCCTGCGGCTCTTCTCTTCGCCCCCCACAGGGCCAGTATCATAAATCACAGAATCACTCAGGTTGGAAAAAACACTCGGGATCATCGAGTCCAACTATCAGCCCGACTCTCCAAAGCTCTCCCCATGCAGCCCTTCAGCTGCGAAACCCAAAGTGTTCCAGGGCTGCCTGTCCCCGCCGGCACCTTTTTACACGCGGGCACAGGCACACGCACACGCCTCTTCCCCAGCCACCAACGTGGCAGATAGATTTTCATTTCCACGATGCTTGGCTCGGGTAGAAGATGGCATCACACCTCCTTTCAGAGGGAGCCGTTGCGTTGCTGCCTGGTTGTCTTTTTGCCCACAGAACCCAGAGGCTGGAGGTTCAGGATATCGGGACAGATGATCAGGGGGGTCACGGTGCGACTCCCACTTTGGGCAACTAGAGATCAGCATCCTCCCAGCCCGTTTTGTATCAGAAATGATGCTGCTCACTTGTTTCTTCAGTCACATTAAGTCACCTACAACCTCTCACAAGGTCTCCAGCAGCAGTAATTGTGTGAATTCCCTACAAGTTTCTCAGGTGACCTTCACGGTGGTAGGGAAGTGAGGGGAGAGTGTAGGTGCTGTACAGGAGCACTGTCGATGTAAATCAGGGACCGTGGGGTCCTTTGTTCTAAAATCCATCTGTCTTGGTTTGTTCCAGCCTATAGTTTTGATTTTTCAGCCAGTTCTGGCGCCACTGAAGTGTAAAAATCAGGCAAAGTGAAGATGGTTTCCAGGACAAAGCATGAACGTGAACTTCTGATGTAGAAGCGTGATGGCCAGCTAAGAGAAACGGGACAGGGGGTGTCTTTATTATTTGTGTAGTGGGGATAATGCTCAGCCCCCCCAGACAAACAGAAGAGCACACACCAGAAGCCCTCTCCAGAGCAGCGCTCAGGTGTCTCAGGTTAGCATAAACCCTGCTGAAGACACTTAAATCCCACCCAGCCGTTTCCTAATGCCTGCAGCCCCCGCCCCAGTTGCTTTGATGGGACTTTCAGTAGTGGCTCCTCAGGGGTGTGTCCTGAACTGCCCCAAATTGAGCAGCTCTGAGCCTCAGCTGGGCTCTAGAAATTATATATAAGAGTCTTGTAAAGGGTTGTTAAATAGTCTCAGGAGTCAGGAAGCACCAGGTTTTTTTAGAAGGTGGGTTTGGGAGTGGTTTTTGTTCCAGGAGCGCTGCTGGCAGGATGGGTCCCAGCAAGCCGCGTCCCTCCCCACCAGCCTCCTGCTGCAGCACCAAGGAAGCACCGGCTGGCATCTCTGCCACGTGTGGGGTAGGTGGTAGCTGGTCGTGACAAAGCTTTTCGCAAAGGACCTGCCGCTGGAGATCTGAAGGTTGAGGCCCTGGCCTGGGAGGGAGAGCACAGTGAGAGGGGCAGAGGTGCAGCTTGAGCCTGTAGCATGGCTCTGCTGGGCTGGGCTCAGGGCGTTTAGAGAAGCCCTACAAGAGCAGGGCAAGCAAACTGCTCTTGAAACAGCCCTAGAACAGCACACAGTTAATGGGATTTCTGAGCCAAGTGAAGGGATTTCCTTGTATCTCTTTGTATAACGGCTCTGGATTGATGTTGAACTGCTGAATTTGTGGAGCTGCATCCTTGGACCCGGCTGCACCCCTGGTATCCCCCCTCCCAGGGCACTGACGCCGCAGCGCCAGGTCGTGTGCTTGAGAAACTCTTTGTTCTTGGCAGCTCCTTTAGACATCCCTGTGCCTTGTCACCTGGGACACCCCATCCCTCACCCGTGCTCTCCAGGCCTCTTGTGGCTTAACAGACCCCGAGCATCTCTCCCCTCACTCACTGCATTTCCAGGAGGAGACCATGAGCGAGCCCCGTCTCCCTGCCCCCAGGATGCCCTGAAAGATGCAGCCGTTGGGCTTGGCCACTCTATAAAAAAACCCACAAATTTTATGGGCAGGAGAAGGGGACAAGAAGGCCTGGGACTGCCCGGTATGGGGAGTAGCAATGCTGTTCCTGAGCTCGCAATGAGCGTTGAGCAGGGAAAGGTTTTGGTGGTCACACGGTGCCTGAACTGATGCAGCAGCTGAAAATCCGCCCAGGAACACGCCAGTTCCCAGGGATTCTGTTAGCAGGGATTTGAAGTTGATGAGACTTAAGTAGATATAAATTTTCATGCCTATAGGCCTGTGGACATCAAAGGTGGAAGACGGCTGGAAGTGAGAGAGAAATTTCTGAGCTGTAAATTTGACACCATAGAATCTGAAATGGGCAGCGTAAGAAAAATATTGGTGCGGGAAAGAGCAAGGAAAATGCTGCACCCCTGAGAAAACAACACAAAGTGCTGCAGACCCAAACCAAACTCCAGGCTTGGAAACGCTCTGACATGCCCGGTGGGGCTCCCCAGACACTGAAATCATGGGTGAGGGCCGGATTTCTAAGGCCACCTCTTCTGGATGTGAACTAGGAGTTCCCTTTGTTTCTGTATTTATTTATTTATATAGTTTAATAGATGATGGATAAGGTTCTGCATTCTGGTTCATCATAAAAGGATCATTTCCAAGCATGTGCACCTAGGAAACGCGCTAACCGTGCCATTATATTTCAGAGCCTCTGAATCTTCTCCATCTCCCCTGGGCACTGGAGTACTCGGGACTCACGAAAATCAGGCAACGTGTCACCTCGGGTCTAAAAATGTGCTTGAGGTCCTCGCGTTTCACACCGGCGTTGGAAGGTGGGAGACTGAGAATCCTGAAGAGAGAGCCTGTGTTTTATTGTCCCTCCCACCCTTCACTGGAAGGGTTCAGGTTGTGTTTTCCACCTACCAGGAAGCTCAAGGACTTCTCTGGGCCTCTCGAAGTCTGTGTGTTCTGGATACGTTCAAATCGGGGCGCTCTGATGTTGGTGAGGGGTTCTTCACTTATTTTTATGGGGTCAGACAGGTTTGGGGTTGGTTGGTTTGTTTGTTTTTTGGTGGGTTTATGGATTTCTGTGACTGGAAAGTTAGTGTAAAGCCGCCTCAGAAAACTGATGAAAATCTTGCAGTTAAGAGTTGAAGAAATTATTAATGATTGTAATTTTCCACATTTTTTTTTTGCCTAGAGGACTCCTTTGTTCTCTTCTTTTTGTCTAAAATTTGTGTTAAGTAAGAGCTTACAATTTAATTTTCATTAGCAACCCCTTTGCTGTTGCAGGGCGGGGTTTGGCTGGACGGGCTGTGGAAGGTGGGTTTACGTGGGTTTATGTGTTAGATGCCTTGAGCCAGGTGGGTTCTACTGTGCAACCTCTTCCTCTCTTGCTCTGTTTTTCCTGGTGCCACTTTGGATCAGGGCCTTGATACTGCACGATGGTCTGCGTCATCCTGCTAGACCTGTCTGGTCGCTAGGGAAGATCAAGGACACTCTGAGGTGTTTCCTCCACTGAAAACATCAACATCTTTATTAATTCAGCTTTAATTGTATTGAAGTGAAGGCCTTTAGTGGGAAAAGGCTGGGAAGGGTTTTTTCTGCCTTCACGTGAAAGCAGTGGAAGTGGCTTTCCTCGATTTCATCAATATTTAGAGATGCGTATTTCAAGGAAAGAGTCAGGCACAGAAGACTGGGACTTGGATGATTGTCCTCTCTTGTGAGCTTGCCCTGCACCAGGAGTTTACCAAAAAAAAATGTTAATTAAACTCCAACGGGTGAACTTGTAGGTCCTGGTATTCTGAAAAAATAATTAATTAATTAATTAATTAATTCCAAGGCCTGCAAGGGAAGCACTGGAGGTGGGATGGCCTCGGTCATGTGTTCCCCTTCTACAGAAGGGCAGATCCCCGGCGGCGGAGGAAACCTGGTGGTGGTCAGCAGGAATGTGCTGGTCCCATCCTGGGGACTTCTCTTTAAATAGCCAC